AGGAAGGGGCTCTACCACTGAGCCACACCCCTAGCCCCTCACTGGGGCATTCTAAGCATGTCCTCTACCACTGAGCCACACCCCTAGCCCCTCACTGGGGGATTCTAGGCAGGGGCTCTACCACTGAGCCACACCCCCAGCCCCTCACTGGGGGATTGCTTCTAGGCAGGAGCTCTACACTGAGCCACATGCCCAGCCTCAACTGGTAATTTTGCCCCAGGGATGTTTGTCTTGGCAAGTACCCTTGATCTGAAGGACCTGTAACCCTGACTTGAGATGGTTTGGAGGATATACCCAACTGTGTGACCCCTGACCCTTGGCTTGAACAGGCTCTAAAGCAAGTATGACACCAGCTTGGTGACCTTTGCCTCCACCCCCAGCTCCCCCAGATTAGCTTAAATCTAGTGTACCTTACTCAGGGTGCCCAGGAAGAACAGCTAAATGTCAACCTCAAAGGGAACTTGAGCCTGGAGCGGGTGCACCGGGACCAGAGTGGAATCTATGGCTGCAGAGTGGAAGACTACGACGCTGGCGAGGACGTACAGCTTGTCAAGACCCTAGAGCTGCGCGTGGCCTGTGAGAGCTTTGGGGGGAAAGGGAGATAGGATGGGGTCAGGCTTTGTCAGCTCCTCTCCCTCCGGATCCCCACCCTGGCTCCTCCCAACTGCCTGGCAGTCTCCAGAGTGCTGGTTCCAGAACACACACTTGCCTCTCTCCCCTGCTTAGAACCCGCTGTGGCTCCCCAGTGTTTCGTAGAGAAAGATCGGGTCCCTCTTTGACCGTCTCTGTTCACCTGAGCAGCTTCACCGTCAACTGACTCTCTCCTTCCACCCTCCACCCTCATCAAAGCTGCAGCTCCAGCGCATCACAAACTCCTCTCTTCTTTCTAACTCCTCAATCTTATGTCCACTGAAGTTAACCTGACTAGATCCTAGATCCTGGGTTCTATTTTTTTTTTTTTTAATTTTTTTATTTTTATTTTATTTTTCTTTTTAGTTACATTTTGTTAACTCTGTGTCCCAGCTGTATCCCGCTCCCGATCCTGGGTTCTAAACAGCTTTTGCAGTTTAGAAAAACTTTTGCTAGGAAGAAAGCTCTGTTCTTGTGTGTGTGTGTGTGTGTGTGTGTGTGTGTGTGTGTGGTGTACATGCTCATGTGCACACACACTTCCTGTGCATGTGTTTGTCAAGGCTAGAGGTCAACCTTAGCTGTTGTTACTTGAGATGGATGCTTTGTTTTTTGAGAAGGATCTTTTCATTGGCCTGGAGCTGATTAAGCAAGGTTGGCTAGCCAGCCAGCATGGCCCAGAGCTCTATCTGCCTCTGCCTCATTAATGCTAAGATTATTATAAGCATGCACAGCTATGCCCAGCCTTTGTATGTGTGTGGAATATGGGGCTTCTAGGCAGGTTACATACTACTGAGCCACACCCCCAGCCCCTCACTGGGGGATTCTAGGCAGGTTACATACTATTGAGCCACACTCCAGCCCCTCACTGGGGGATTCTAGGCAGGGGCTCTACCACTGAGCCACACCCCCAGCCCCTCACTGGAGGGTTCTAGGCAGGGGCTCTACCACTGAGCCACACCCCCAGCCCGTCACTGGGGGGTTCTAGGCAGGGCCTCTAGGACCCTGGTCCTTATGTTTGCAAAGCAATCACTGTACTTGTGGAGCTGTCTCAATAGCCTATGTTTGGCTGTGTTGTTTGTTTGGTTTTTTAAATATTTGTTTATTTTTTATGAGCGCTTTATCTTCATGTTCACCTGCGCAGCAGAAGAGGGCACCAGATCTCATTATAGATGGTTGGGAGCCACCATGTGGTTGCTGGGAATTGAACTCAGGTCCCCTGGAAGAGCAGACAGTGCTCTTAACCACTCTCTCCAGCCCCTTGCCTGTGTTGTTTTAATTGAGACAGACTCTCATAAAACTAGGCTGGCCTTGAACTCACTATGTAGCCAGCCTTACCACAGAAGCAAAGACAAAAGAAAAGTGCTAGTTCAAACTGTTTTAGTCACATTAGCGTGTCTTAGAGCACTGATAAGATGGAGGGTGCGAGGTGACACGGATTGTCACAGTCAGAGTTCCCTGGAGCTGTTCTCCTCCACCTGGTCTGCAGGTAGAATGTCTGCTTATGGAAACCCTCTACGTGTTCTGAAGCAGCAAGAATGAGCAGGAGCTGAGGTTTGACTGTGCTTTACAAAAGGCCTGGGCATGGAGGGCTACTCCACAGTTGTCCCCTTAGGATGAAGGATCTGAGCCCGATTGTCTGTACTGTGCAGAGGAGGGGCATGACCTTGGATGAGGGACTCTCCTTGTAGTTAAGGGCATTCCCACAGAGGGTTGACAGCTGAAGGTTGACAGCTGCTGGGCCTCTTGGCAGCTGGGGGAATCAGTTGTCGGTGTCAGGAGAGAGATCCCGAGCTCCGGGTGTCCACAGTAGCCAGGCAGGGGACCTCTGAGGGAAGAGAACATGGCTAAGAAACTGAAGAATGATACAGGAAACCCACAGAGCTGGAAACTCCTGCTGTGGGCAGAGAGAGCCGGGCAAGAGGCTGTAGCCGCGAATTTGGCATTCTGGAGAAAACTAAACCTACAGTCTCTAGCTAAGCAGTTAAGAGCGGACGAAAGGCAGTGTTCATTAACTAGGCAGGCTCTAGCTGTGGCAATTTGGCCATGATGCCAAGGGTACTGGGGAGCCATGGCAGGATTTTAAGCAAAGATGAAGATGGACCGGTGTGTTCTTGGGTTGGTCAGTGGAGAATGGACAGAAAAGACAAAAGCGAGGAGCAGGGCTGGCAAGATGGCTTATCAAGTCCAGGAGCTTGCTACCAAGCCCAGCAACCCGAGTGTGATTCACATGAAGGAGGGGAGAATCTTCTCCATCAAGTGCCCTCTGACCTCTGACCTGAGCCATGGCGTTCATGCATGCATGCACCACAATAAGTAATAAAAATACAACTTTTAAAAAATGAGGGATAAGATGGCTAGTGGGGTTGCACGCCTTCAGTCGCAGTGCTCAGGAGGCAGAGGCAGGCAGATCTTTGTGAGTTCAAGGCCAGCCTGGTGTACAGAGTGAGTTGCAGGACAGCCAGGGCTGCACAGAGAATCAAAATCCAAAACCAAACAAAGAAGCAAAAGAGTGAGGGGTGGACTAGTGTGGAGGTGAGGATGGTTTGGGGTCGTACATAGGGAAGAGGGGGACCCTTCTGCAGCAGAAATATAAAATCTTTCTTTTTTTTCTTTCTGTTAACAGTGCTTTACTATGTAACCTAGGCTGGTCTGAAACTCAGACCTTTCAGCCTCTGTTTCCCAAGTGCTGGGATGACAGGCACAATTTTGTTGCTGTGTTTTGAGATGCTGACAATTGGACACAGGGCCTTATCTATGCTAGACAAATGCTCTCTACCACCGGTATTTATACCCAACCACGGGTCTGGAGGAGTGAAGTCAGGTTATCTGGCTTAGTGGTTAAGTGTCTACTCACTGAGCTATCTTGCTGGTCCAAGCCCATCAAGTTTTTATGGAGATGGATGGGAGTAATGCAGGGGAGAGCGAAAATTTGAGCTGAAGCAAAACTTGGGTGGAGAGCTGGAGGCACTGAAGCAGAACACCTGCCTAGAATCCCCCAGTGAGGGACTGGGGGCGTGGCTCAGTGGTAGAGCCCCTGCCTAGAATCCCCCAGTGAGGGGCTGGGGGGTGTCTCAGTGGCATAGCCCCTGCCTAGAGTCCCCCAGTGAGGGACTGGGGGCATGGCTCAGTGGTAGAGGTAGAGCAGTTACTTGCCTGGCATGTGGGAAATCCTGGGTTCTATTCTCAGTACTGTAAAGCCACAGATAGCAGGTCAGATAGTGCATTCTCTAAGAGCTGCTCTTCTAGGTCTTGGCTGAAGGGCCTGGATGGAAAGTAAAGATGCCATTGTACTGGGGAGAATAGAAAGAACAACATGGTGCTGTCTGCTGCCTGATAGCCCTCTAGAGGCCCTGGCTGAGTGGCCAAGGGGCTGGGGAATGCGACCATGTTTCCCCCTGCAGACCTGGATCCGTTGGAGCTGAGCGTGCCCGAGGAGCTCTCTGTGTCCCTGAACAGCACTGGCACAGTGGTGAGCTGCTCTGCTACAGGCCTGCCTGCTCCTGCCGTGCGCTGGACCAAGGTGACTGGAGGAAGCTGTGGGGCCTTGGGGGGCGGGGGTGGGGGCCCGCCCTGCCTCTCATCCTCTCATGGCTCTGCCTGGCTTCCTTCCTGTCCCTTCCCTAGGATTCTGTGACCCTTGCAGATGGTCCCGTGCTCTCTCTCGACTCAGTTACCTTTGACTCAGCTGGCACCTATGTATGTGAGGCCTCCACACCCACAGTCCCCCTCCTGAGCCGCACACAGAGTTTCCAGCTGGTGGTCCAAGGTTTGGATTGTTGGGTGGTTTGTGTGTGGACACTGACTGTCCTTGTTCTTCTTTCTTGTGTGTGTGTATGTGTGTGTGTGTGTGTGTGTGTGTGCGCGCGCAAGCAAGCAAGCAAGCAAACAATCGAACAAGCGCGCCTGAGGCCAGAGGTTGACCTTGGATGTCTTCTTCTATGCCTCTCCATTTTTTGCTGGGAGTGGGGGTGTTCTGAGACACAGGTCTCCTCTGTAGCCCTGGCTGGCCTGGAACTCACTGTGTAGCCCCGGCTGGCCTGGAACTCACTGTGCAGACCAGACTGGCCTGGAACTCACAGAGATTCGGCCACCTCCCTCCTGAGTGCCGAGATTCAGGGTGGACATCTGTTGTCAGGGCTGGGGTTGCAGATGCTCACTGCTGCACCCTTCTTTTACATGCATGCTGGGGATCTGAACTCAGGGCCTCAGGCTTGGATGGCAAGCACTTTATCCAATAAGCCATGCCCCAGGCCCTCCTCCATTTTCTCCTCTTTGTTCTCCTGTGTCTCTCTCCTTCCCCTTGCAGCATGCCTCCCCCTCACTGCTATGGTCCCCACCACCCACAGGGCCACCAGAATTAAAACCAAATGAGATAAAGCCCAAATCAGGGAACAGCTGGACAGAAGGCGATGAAGTCCTGCTGACCTGCTCTGCCCGAGGCTTCCCAGAGCCCAAACTCACCTGGAGTCAGCGAGGCGATACTGTAAGGGACTGTCCTTGCCACCCTGAGCCTATCCCAACTTGCACAGGGGACCCTGGCCCTCACGGACCCAGGCTTCATATCCCCACACTCCACCTCAGCCCTTGCCCCCAGCCCTTGATCCCAAGGGGCCGGGCCTGATCCGAGCCTCCACAGCCAGGAAAGCCCCCCTTTGAGGGCAGAGGCTGGAGCAGCAGCTCGCTGATGGTGAAACTGACCAGCACCCTGAGCCGAGAGGGCGTGTCCTGTGAGGCAGCTAACATCCACGGCAAGACAGGTCACGTCTTCCACTTTGGCTCTGGTGTGTAACCGCTGGGGGGCCGCTGGGTGCAGGCAGTCCTGATCTGGTGAGCTGAGCACCTCTCTGTTGTTTTCTTCATACAGTGGCTCCGCAGACTGCCCAGGCTGGAGTGGCTGTCATGGCCGTGGCCGTCAGCGTGGGTCTCCTGCTACTTGTGGTTGTGGCCTTCTACTGCATGAGGCGTAAGGGGCACCCCGGCTGCTGCCGGCGAGCAGAGAAGGGGGCCCCGTAAGTGCCTGCAAGCTTCAATCTCAGCCAGGTCTTGCCGTGAGCCAAACACTCAGCTCCGTTGCTAAGGGAATCCCAAAGCAATCCGCTACCGGGCCTGTCCCGTCTCCTCACCCATCTAGCTCTAGGGTGGCTGTCCACCTAACCCACATTTCTACCCAAAGCCACCTTAAATCTCACCAGCCAGACCTAACGCCGTCCCCGTCCCCTCATCCTCCATTACGGGTCTCTATCTAACTGTAGCTGAGTTCTTTTGTTTTGTCTGAAGTACTGGGGCTGGAACCCAGATTTTATTTATACTAGACAAACCCTTTACTTCTGAACGACACCCCTACAAGCACAGTGGTGGCGCACACCTTTAATTCTGGCACTCGGACACAGGCAGGTGGATCTCTGAGTTTGAGGCCAGCCTGATCTACAGAGTGAGTTCCAGGACAGCCAGGGCTACACAGAGAAACTGTGTCTCAAAACAACCAAAAATAAAAATAAAAAAAGAAAGAAGGACGCCCTACAGCCTGATCTTCTGGAGGCATCTCCTCAGTTGAGAGCTGGCTCTCTCCTGTGTTAAATTGACGACAAACTAGCCTGGGAGACTCTAGGCAGGGACTCCACCACTGAGCCATACTCCCAGCCCCCTTTTTGAGTATTTTGGGAACTGTCTCAATGAGTTGTCCAGGCTGGCTTAGAACTTTCAGTCCTCTTGCTTTAAGCTCTCAAGTGCTGGGATTAGATCCCTGTGCCATGAGGCCCAGCTTCATCTCACGTCAAGACTTTGTGGGATCTGAAGTCTCACGTGGGACGGACTCTGACCTGCTCCTTAAAGCCACATTTCCAGGAGCTGTCTTCATAGTCCCATTCCAACAACCCCAAGTCTAGCTCTGAACCCCACTGCCTATACCCAGTCCTTCTACACTCTGTACCTGAAGCCATCCAAATTCACCCACATCTCACCTCATCCCCAGCCTCCCATAGCATCTCATCCTTGTTCCCAACTGGTCTCCGATACTCGGTAGCCTTGCTTCAAGCCCATCTCCCGCCTCCAGCTCCTCACCTCCCACTACCAAATCCAAATGCCATCACCATCCCTACCCATTCCCAGTTCTTTCTCTAGCAGTGACCATTTCACTGTGCCACTGTCTTCCCCCAGGCCAGCCAGGGAACCAGAGCTGAGCCACTCTGGTTCAGAGCGGCCAGAGCAGACGGGCCTTCTCATGGGTGGGCCCTCCGCAGGAGGCAGAGGTGGCAGCGGGGGCTTTGGAGATGAGGTGAGTGATGTTGGGGTGTCCAGTAGCGAGCCAGCTAAGAGCTGGGCCAGCCTCGTGGGCTCAGGTTCCGTTCCCTGTTCTGTCTCCAGTGCTGAGGCTGAGGGCCTTCCAGAGGGAGTCTCTGGATCTGGAACTTTGGGCATCATCGGAGGACCGGCTCTGCGCTCATCCCCGCCTCCTTCCTCCTCCAGCCTAGGCCCTCCCTTCCTTCCTCTGCCTGCTGGGCAGGGATTCACAGTAGCCAGCAGCCTCACGGAGGGAAAGAGGGGGGTGGGGGCCTGGGAGGAGGCCTTCCTCCAGGGAGTATAACTCTCTCAGGCCCCAGAATAGCTCCTGGACCCAAGCCCAGGGCCTGGCCTGGGATATGGCGCTGAGGGTCGGCAGCCTGGGGCTATTTTTACCTCCTGTGTCCCTTGCTAGGCACTACCCCCACCTGATACCCTGCTTGTAGTCTGACACTGGAGTCCCCAACCCACCTGATCCCTGCCCTTGTCCCCAGCCCATCATCTGTGAACACTGGATTCTGAAATAAATGCTGCCTGTCACATGGCTCCTTTCCTCTGGCCAGGTTGTCTTCTAAGGGAGGGGGATAAAGGGGAAGGAGGGTGCAGGCCATTTTTCCCTTTCACTACTGCTAGCTGGCTGTCTCCTCACATACCCTCAAGAAAGGTCTGATGTCAAGGGGAACAGCAGGAGACAGGCTGGAGAGGGTGAGAGACAGCTAGCATAAAACAAGACTCAGCTGGCTGATGCTGAGGAGACACCAGGGGTCCAAGCACTAGTCTGGACACTGTGGACCGGTGCCCAGTGTCTGCTTGGGGATAAGGTCCTGTCCCATTAAGGAAAAATTCCCAGAGTCCCTAGGGAGCTGAAGCTAAGACTAGAAAAATCCTCTCCCCTTCCTGGAATTGCTGGGGACTCCCTGGGGAATCAGGAGTGACGAAAAGGAATGCAAAAGGGACCTGGGGCGGAGTGGAGAAACTGAAAGACTCTGAGATCCAAACAAGGACTGGAGAGGATGGAGGCGATCCACCCTGCCACCTGAGCAGTTGGGGTAATGATTTGGAGGCCAGGCTGGGCTACACAGTGACTTCGAGTGGGCTGGGACGGCAAAGCCAGGCACTGTCCCAAGATAACAGGGGCCAGTAAGAAGGTTTAGTGAGTGGGGGTACTGCTACCAAGCCTGACAACTCAAATCGGGTCATGTAGACCGGGCTGGCTTCCAATACATGCTATGTAGCTGAAAATGGCCCTAAAATCTAGATTTTCCTGCCTCTACTTAAGTCCCCAGTGAATTCCAGAAACATAGAAACCACTGAGCTTTATATGCACTTTTTCTCTTATACATGAGCCCTTACGATAAAGCCCACTTGACAAACTAAGATCAGTAAGAAAACAGTAGCTATTGATAGAGCCAGGTGTGGTGGCGCACATTTATACTCCCAGCACCTGGGAAGCATGGCAGGAAGATTGCCATGCGTTCAAGCACAGCCTGGGCTACACTGTGAGAGCCTGTCTCAGTAAGTGAAGTAAGGAAAGAAAGAAAGGGAGCAGTTGTTAGTAAAATAGAGGACTAGGGAGACGGCTCAGTAATAAACTGTTAATTTTGCAAGAATGAAAATGGGAGTCTAATCTCTAGATCCCACATAACTGGACAACAGCCCCAGTGCTTGGGAAGCAGAGACGGGCCGTCCCTGGGGCTTGCTAGCCAGTTAGTCCAGCCTGTTTGGCAAGTTTCCAGACCAAATGTTTCAAAAAAACCAAAATGGTCGGGGCTAGAGAGAAGGCTCAGTGGTTAAGTGTGCTCTTGCAGAGGACTGGAGTTCTGTTCCTAGCCCCGCGTCAGGCAGCTCACAGGCCCCTCTAACCAGCTCCAGGGTCCCCGGCACCCTCTGCTGGCCTCTGCATCAGCTGCATGCAACATGCACATAATTAAGATAGTCTTTCCAAGGTTGAGCTTACCTAAGGGACACCTGAGATTATCTTCTGCCCCACAGGCACACCCATGGACACAATCACACACATGCTTGCACATTTACACAGATTAAATAGAATACTTATAAGGGCACAAAGTATGCCATTGTTAAAGATCGTTGTTTAAAACAAAAGTTATTTCAAACTCGTGAATTATTTATATCTGGAATGTTCCATTGAACATTTTTGGACTGGGGCTGAAACCGCATGGAGTGACACTGGGCTGGGGAGGCGCTTCCAGTCATCAGACCCCAGGCCTTGTTCCTGTTCCTCCCCTCTCTCCAGCCCTGTAGGTAGAGCTCTCTTGTCGTCTGTATGGGAGCGTTGAAGATGGCAGCTCTGTGTATTTTCTGGCTTGCTTGTTTGTGACAGGATTTCAAGTAGCCCAAGCTGGCCTCAGATTCTCCACCCCCTGCCCCACACTCTCAAATGCTGGAACAAAGGAAGGCTAGTGAGATGGCTCAGCAGGCCAGGGTGCTCACCCCCAAGCTAGATGGCCTGAGCTTAGTCCCCAAATCCAACATAAGGGACGGTGAACCACTCACACCAGCTGTCTTCTGCACAGAGGCACACCCAACACTAAATACAGACTAAGGGGGGGGGTGACATTTTGATTTCAGTCCAGCTAGGCATGGTGGTTTGTGCCTGTATTGTCAGTGGAACACTGAGGCAAGGCAGGAGGATTGCTGCAAGATTAAGACCAGCAAAACGCTGATGTAATGAAACCCTCAGGGAAAACAAATAAACAAATAAAAACCAAGTACATGCTGGGAATCCAAGCATTTGAGAGGAAGAAGCAGGTGGTTTACTCTAAATCTGAGGTTAGCTGGAGTTCCAGGCCAGCCAAGGCTGCTTATTAAGATCTTATCTAAAAGTAAACTCCCTCCCAGCACTTGGGAGGCAGTGGCAGGGCAGTTCTGAGTTCGAGGCCAACCTGGTCTACAGAGCAAGTTCCAGGAGAGCCAGGGCTACACAGAGAAACCCTGTCTCAAACAAACAAACAAAAAAACCCAAACGCACACACACACACACACACACACACACACACACACACACACACACAAAACAAGCAAACGTACGACACTACCATCACTAAATAAAACTTAAAAGTTTAGATACATAACTGGGAAGTTCAAAGGCAAACTACTTGAAACAGTTGGATCCAGGAGCTCAAATCTACTTCTGTTTCAAACAATATCACTGATTAGGGGTTGGCAGGCTCAAGGGCTGTGATTAGCCAAAGGTAGGTGGCTACTGCTTCCTGTGCCCATAAGGGCAGGGTTGCAGTGCAGGTAAATTACTTGGAACTGGAAGCCTTTGGCTGTGTTCCCAGCAGGCTGCTGCTCCTGAGTGAAGTGCTACCTCTGGGACTCCTCGACCCCAGAAGTTGACTTCACAAGCATGAGACCCACCCAGTCCTCTGTCAACAAACCAGGCTGATCTCAGGCCTGAAGCATGCCTCATACTCCAGCCCGCACTCCTCTGGCTTCCTTCCTGAGCCTGCCCTACCCACAAAGACCAGCCAGAAGAGCCCACTTGGTGGCTGTCCAGAAGAGCAGGTGCAGGGGGGGGGGGGAGGGAAGACCGTTCAGCAGGCCGGCTCTTCCACTCACAGGAGGAAGGGCAGGGGCAGGATTTCACAATGTCAACAGTGAGGCTAACACTCTAGACCTCCTTCCTTAGCTGGGACAGGATAAAAGGCTTCAGAAAGTCAGTGATGGGTCAGCAAGGTGCCAGTTCGTCAAATCCATGCCAGTCTGCCCATCATAGTTTGGTTTCTGGAACCATGATAGGAGAGCATCAACTCCTCAGACCTCCATGCATGCTCCCCGTCCCCCGTAAGAAGAGAAAGAGGAAGGGAAGTTTTGATCTTTAAGATGGTACTTGCTGCCTGCCCAACACCTTCAGCTCAATCCCCAGAGACCACAGACTTGAGGAGACAACTGATCCACATGCTGCGGTACCTACACCCCTCTCAAAAACAAACAGTTTAAAGTATAAGCGTACGTGTGTGTATGTATAATACACGTACACACACATTTATGGTCAAGGGGTTAGGAGCATTTGTTGTTCTTTCTTGTAGAGAACCAGGGCTTGTTTCCCAGCGCCCATACGGCAGCTCACAACTCTCCATAACTCCAGTTCCAGTGCTCTGACACCCGAGGCTCCTTCTGGCCTCTACAGGCAGCAACAACATACATACATACACACGCAGGCAAACCCTCATATACAGAACTTTAAAGAAATCTCGAAACAGAAAAAAGTCGTCGAAGCTCTGAGTGTGGTGCCACATCCCTTTAATTCCAGCACTAGAGAGGTGGGCAGATCTCTGTGGCTCAAGGCCAGCCTGGTCTACATAGGAAGTTCCAGGACAGCCAGAGCTACACAGCGAGACCCTGTGTACTGGCTGGTTTGTGTCAATTTGACACATGATAGAAACACCAGAAAGGAAGGCGCCTCAGTTGAGAAAATGCCGCCACAGGACCCCGCTATAAGGCATTTTCTCAATTAGTGACCAATGGGGGAGGGTCCAGCCCACTGTGGGTGGTGCCATGCCCGGGCTGGTAATGCTGGGTTCTACAAGACAGCAGGCTGAGCAAGCCAGAAAGCAGCACCCCTCCAAGGCCTCTGCATCAACTCCTGCCTCCAGGTTCCTGGCCTGCTTGAGTTCTTGCCCTTAGGAACAGCAATATGGAAGTATAAGAAAACAAAGCAAAACAAAAACAAAAACAAACTTTCACCCCCAAGTTGCTTTTATATTATGGTGTTTCACTGCAGTAAATGAAACCCTAACTAAGACACTCTGTCTTAAACCAGGCATGGAGGCACAGCCTTTATCCCAGCATTCAGGGAGGCAGAGGCAGATGGATCTCTGTGAGTTCAAGGCGAGCCTGATTCACAAAGCGAATATAGGACAGGCAATTACCCAGAGGAACCCTGTCAAAAAAAAAAAAAAAGAGGTATTGAGGTCTAGAGTGCATTTATTCTCTGCCCATTGTTCATTCAGCTGGCCTCAAGTCACATTTGTTCCAAGCCAGAGATAGTATCTGGAGGTCATGTTGCATAGTTACTAAAAACACTAAAGTCTAGGCTCAAACCTCATCCGGCTACTTCTCTGATGGTGGTTTGGAAAGGACCTGGGAGCCTGGTGTGATGGTGCATGCCTTTAATCTCTGCGCTCGGGGAGGCAGAGGCAGGCGGATTGATGTGAGTTTGGGGCCAGCCTCATCTACAGAGCAAGTCCGGGACAGCCTGGGCTACACAGAGAAACCCTGAAAAAGACCCAGTGCCTCAGTTTCCCTTTCACACACAGGAAAGGGATCACTGTAGTGTTTTCTTATTGGGATTCTTGTTTTGGTGTTTGAAGACAGAGCCGCTCTGTGTAGTCTTGGCTGATTAGAACTGGCCCTGTAAGACCATACTGGCTTGGAACTCCGAGAGATCCTCCTGCCTCTGCCTCCTGAGCGCTGGGATTAAAGGTGTGTGGCACCAACCAGACCCCCTTTTTGAGATTTTTTTTTTTTAATGAGCAAAGGCAAAGGAATTTTGAACAGTGTTCATTCTGGACCTGTCTTTTTTTCCCCCTGTAACTCTGACTTTGGAAACAAGTCATTTTCCCCCTCCCCATGACTCGGTTTCCCTACCTCCCCCAAAGTTTGATGGGGGCCTTATTTGCAGTAGGCTTACATGAGTTCCTGATGGATAGAGAAAGCTAAAATTATTAATAGTATTGCTTTATGAATAGTATTGCTAAAAAGATACAGCAGCAGCTCAGGTTAAAGAGTGCTCAATCCAGGGCACTCCACATAGCCAGGAATGGCAGTCTGCGCCTGTAAACCCAGCACTGTTTTCCTCAACTCCAAACACAGGAGGACTGCGTGGGACTCCGTCTCAGAAAACAGAACCAAGGTGGGTGGAATGGCTTCACAGGTAAAGGCACTTGCCACCAAATGTGAAACAACTCAACACAAGTTGTCCTCTGACCTTCAGGCCTGGCCTGCACGCATGCAAAACAATAAGCAAGCAAACAAGTAGTTTCATTAACAAGAGTGAAAAGTAAGTAGGTCGGAGCCAGCCTCCACTCCTTGGGCCTTGCCACCTGGGAGGGCGAATCGAGGAGTGTGGCCGGCTGAGAAGGGGTCCTGTCCCGGTGGCCCTCTCGCAAGAAACCTCCAAGTGTCAGGCACGCCCTCGGCTTAATCCCCTCCCTAAGCCTCCTCTCTCCTCCCTCACCCTCCCAAGCAGACCTTCTCACTAGCTCCCCTCAGTGGCCCTGGGAATGGGAAAAGGCAAGCGGGGGTCCGGAGGAGTGGAGCGTCTAGGAAGAGACAAAAGGGTTAAGTCAAAACGAGCCACAAAGACCAGAGGAGGCTGGTGAGATAGAGAAAGTGGGACAAGGACATCGGGAGGGACTGTCGGGGGCAGAGGCCGGCCTGACTGGTCCAGCCCCACCCAGCGGGGCTCTGGCTCGCCGGGTTTGCCTGTGCTGCCCCCTAGCGGAAGGCTGCGATATTTAAAAAAGGATACTGGGTGGGAGGGACGTACAGCCAGAGGCAGGGAAACGCCGAGAGTGACACCGAGAAAGCTACGAGCCAGGAAGCAGAAAGCGACAGGGACGCCAAGAGATGCACAGACAGTCAAAGGAGTGCAGGGAGACACGGGGTCCAAGGACAAGGGCACATGGAGAGACAAAGAAACACCAGAAGCAGAGCGACAGAGAAACGTAGGGACGCGCAGGGAGACTCAAAGATGACGAGAGAGAGAGGGGGGGAGGAGAGGAGAAATCTGGAAAGAAATGGTGCGACGACACGAGAACCCGGGGCAGAGACAAGAAAGAAACGAGGTCCACTGAGAAGTGACTTCGGCCACGACAGCGGCAGGGCTAGGGCTGGGGAGGGAAGGTGTGGCCTCACCGAGGAGCCGTACCTCAGGCGGGGAGGCCCTACGAGAGCCCACACGCGCAGGCTAGGCAGAGGGCAGCGGGGCGTGGTCTGGGCGAGGAGGCTCGGCTTCTGCGGGTGGGAGCCGACCGGAAGTTCAGAAGGGGGTGTGACCGCATCTCAGTAAAATGACCAGTAGGGGACGCACTGGATCCTCCCGGGCGTGTGGGGGCGTGGCTTCGTATCCGATGGGCGTGGCCAAGCGGCCGAAGGGGTGGGGCTTAGTCCCAAGAGAGGGCGGAGATAGAATCGTGAGGCCGGACAGGTGTAGAACCCGGGAAGGGCGGGGTCACAGCTGGGGAAGGGGGCGGGGCCTGAGCCTCAGGATTAGCTTGGCGGAGAGGGGCGGGGCCGTGACGTCATGTGTACGGCCCGCTGGAGCTAAGCAAGGGGCCGGGGGGCGCGGATCCTGAGAGCCAGGCGGGGAAAGCTGGGCCAAAAGAACTGATCCTGAGAGCCGCGGGCGGCGAAAGCCGGCCTGGAGCCGGATACTTCAGACCCCTGACTGCCCACCCAGCCGATCGGTGCGCGAAGAGTGGTCCCCAGGCACCCCCTGCCCGGGCCCTGTCCCTCCCCGGGCCCCCCATGGCCCGGGCCGCAGTCCTCCCGCCGTCCAGATTGTCACCGACGCTGCCGTTGTTGCCGCTGCTACTGCTCCTGCTTCAGGAAACAGGTGAAAACGCGCTGTGCCTTCCTCTGTCCGCAGGAGGGAGAGAGCCTGGGCATCGTCCGCCACCTCACTCCCAGCTCCCCGAGGCCCCTTCCCTCGTGCCCACCTTCCAGGCAGGCCCTGCTGATCCAGAGATTCCCCTCAACACACCCGACTCCCTCTCCGAGTCTCCTAACCTCCCTCTCCGCACCCCCCTTAATCACAAGTACCCATTCTAACCCGGGTTTCTCTGTCCCCTCCACCTCCCTCGGAGTGGAAAGGGTTAAATCCTCCCCATCCTGCGCCGCCGATCGCTTATCCGGAATCTGGATTTCCGTCTCTGCCACCCCCCCTCAGGAATGTGGAGAATGTTCCCCCCACTCACACTAGCTGGAGGGTCGTGATGGTGAGGACGAACGACACCCGCCCCCTCCCCTTTTTTCTTTTCCTTCTTGCTGGGTTGGGCGTCTGAGGCCCCGGGAGAATTGAGCGCGAGGGAACCCACGTTCGAGGTTCCCTAGATGAGGGGTGGGGAGCTCGGATGGCCCTTGGCAAGCCGATGAGGAGAGTTGGGGGCATCCTAGGGGGAAGGGTGTGAGTCTGGAGTGCAAGCTTCAGGCCTCAGGGAGTTTACAGGCACTGGCCACTCGGTTTTGGAAAAATTAGGAGCCGAGGGGTTCTGCCTCCAGGATCTCAGAAGGCTATCTTAACCGGGGGTCTGGGTAGAATTGGGTAAAGGGGGTTCCAACTTGTGGGTCTTGGATTTAACTGTGGGCAAAGAGCTGTGTTCACTGGGGTCCGAATGTCTCGGCGGCTTCGGATTTAACTATGGGCAATGGAATTTAATGACCAGGGGACTCTGACCTTTGGCTCCTAAATATAATCAGAGGCTAAAGGCTCTGCCTGAAATTAGGGACTCAGAAGGTTGTGTACCCGGTTGGGTCCTTAGCCCGTAGGTTTGGAGTTCTCTAACCCCCTTCCCCTTCTTTCCCTTTGAGCGCCGAGTGGCGTTGTCCCTAGGGAAGTTTTCCGGTATCGCTTTCACCTAGTTTGGGAGGGGCGGGGCGGGGCTGGAGCGTTCAGGAGTCGACTCCCGGTTTCGGGACCTTATCTTTCCTTTGGTCACGCCTTTGTCCTCGAAGCACTTAGAGGTAAATGGGGGAAGTCTCCTCTCAAAGGCTCCCTCCCCTTTCACCCCCTACTCCTGGAAGGAAGAGGCCCTGAGAGAAGAATGGGGGTGGGTAGGGAAGGAACAGGTGTGCTGACCTCATCCTGCCCCCAGCAGGTGACCCGGTGACCCGGCGGTTTCTCCCTCACTGAAAACTATGAAATGTGGGGCTGGGAGGGTCCGGAGAGTTTGCTCAGAAAGGGGGTCAGAGAGATCCTGGGAGAATGCCTATCACTCCTTTGGCCTCGTTTTCGCTTCCATGCCTACTTCTGACATCATCAGCCTTGACCTCCCAGCCTCTGCCTCTGTCTCTGCCTCAGCAAAAGAGGAGATCAGAACCTACCACTCTGGGTCAGTTCTCAGAATCCAAAGTACCCTCCAAGCCCAGCAAGTGTCGATTTGTGTGTGAAACCTCACAAGATTTCACAGAACCCCAATGCTAACTAACCTTGTTCCTTTTCCCAGCCTGCACCACTCTGTCCCTTGGAGGCCTTTGAGAGCCAGCAGTCTCCCTTGCTGGGCAGCTCCCCAAAGTGCTTCCTGTTTCCTAGACCTACACTGACTATCTCTTCTTGACTGGACCCTGGGGCGGGGGGAATTCCCGGGTGCTGGGTGTACCAGGAGAAAGTTGGAGAGGGGACCTTGCCCCTTCCTAACCCACCCTGCTCCTGCCTCCACTTCCTCATTCCTTTCTCTCCCTCTCATTTTTTCTTCTTTTCTTCTTCCATTCACTCGCTTCTCTTTTCATCTCTCCCCTTTTCTCTCCTCTCTGTTTTGTTTGTTCCTTTCCCTTTTCTCCATCTCTTCTATGCTTTCCCTCCATCTTTGTCCCCTGACTCCAGCTGCTCCACCTCCCCGCTTTTTGGCCTCCTCAGGGAATGGGGCTGCACCACCTGGATCTCCTGCCTGAGCCCAAGCCTCCCTCCGCACTCCTCCCCATCTCTCTCTCTGCTCATCCATGTCATCTAGGCAGCCCCACACAGCAGCGGGGGAAGGGAGAAGGGACCGAAGGCCTGGCTGTCTCTTCTCGTTAGGGAAGGAGAGTGAGCAGAGGAGAAATGGGGGGGACAGGGACAGGATAGCGAGCAGGGATAGGGACAGGAACCAAGAGAGGGAGGGGACTGGGAATCAGGACCGAAGGATGGAGTCATGCGCAAGGAACGAAGGAAGATTGCAAGGGAGGGCAGAAAGATACTGGGGAGGGCCGTGAGTGTGGACAGGGGCACTGGAAGGGCAAAGCAGTTTAGTAACAGGAGAGAAGACCAAAAGACTACCTAGCCAAGGGGCTGTGGAGATCCTGTGACCCAGAGAGGTCAGAGCACAGGCAGCGCTCAAGGCCAGCCAGCATGTAGGGGCCACAGGGAGTTAAAGACACTGGAGGGACAGGGAGTCATGCACAAGGGCCAGCTCATCTGCCCCCGCCTGGGATGCTGTTACATTTTTAATGCCCCAGCAATGCTGAGAAGCAGAGCAGGAGGGGGCGGGGAGGAGAGGGACCCGGAGAGATGGCCCAGACAGTGAGAAAGTGTGTCAGGAACTGTGGGTGCTGCACACACAGGGACACAAAGACCAGCTGAGGCAGGAGGATTGCAGGAAGTTCAAGGCCAGGCTGAGAGCTACATAGAAAGACCTTGTCTCAGGAAAAACAAGAGTGGTGGAGACAGGCCTGGAATCTCACTGCGAGCATGGGGGAGGCTGAGGCAGCAGAATCTCCAGCCCCAGGGCCAGCCTTGGCTATAGAGCTGAGGAAGAAGAAGAAGAAAGATGAGCTGGACAGTGACTTGTTGGCAAAGTGCTCACCCAGTGAAGCCCGGGGTCCCGTCTTCAGCACCTCCCGAAGCAGGCACGGTGCCCGAGACCGGAATCCAAGCATGAGTTCAAGATTACACAGTTACATAGTGAGGTTGGGTTACCTGGGACCTCTCTCAGAAAAGGGGAGGGGAGCAGTTGGGAGAGTGCCTGGCTTGCGTGAAGGGTGGGGTTCGGTCCCCTAATACCCTTTACATCACCAGCAGTAGTGCGCACCTGGAATCCTGCAAACGGAAGGAAGGTAGAGACCAAAGGTTCAAGGTCATATTTGGCTCCATAATTATGTTCAGGCCAGCCTGGACTACATAAGACCCTGCCTCAAAAAAATTATTATGTTATTGCAGGTTATACTCCTTTAATCCCATCGCTCAGGAGGCAGAGGCAGGCAGGTCTCTTGAGTTCAAAGTCAGCCTGGTCTAGTAAGAGAGTTCCAGGATAGCTGGGGCTATATATTAAGACCCTGTCTCAAAAAATGTTACATATATATTATAGTAATACATATTGTTATTATATAGAGAATTAGGCTGGAGCGTAGTACTCTGGGAATGATGGTCAGGGAGAGAAGGAGCAGACCTTAGCAGTAGGACCTGTATGCAGGCAGGGGCCAGAGTCTCCTGGACCTGGGATGCACACTGAGGCATCCAGTCTTGGTAGGATGTGTGAGCGGCCTATCCCAGAAAGAGCCTTCCAGAGCTTCACACTGATGAGTTTGTACTTCCACAGCGAAAGTCCTGTAGGAGCTGAGCCCCTGTGGCAAAGGAAGGCTGCACATCCACGGGGCCAGAGCCGCAAGTGTTAACGCCGAGGCCCACATAGAATCCAGGCACAGCCCTGGCCGTGTATCCTGGCAGCAGTGGTGGCATTGACACCCCTCGGACAGGCTCCGGATGTCCGCTGCGGGGGTGGGAACTATGGTTAATGTAATTAATTAATTAACCTGGTGGCTGAGGCAGCAGCTGATGCCAGTGCTCAAGGCACTCTGGCCTTGAAAGGTTTGCTCCAACCCTGCCCCACCCGAGCATGGTGGAGGGTAGAACATGGTATGTTTTATAGATGGGCAAGCTGAGACTGGAGGAGCAAGCCAGGCAGGAAATGTAAGAAGCCAGGGGTCCAGACCCCGGCCCCCAACTTTCTTCCTTCTGATCTGGTGTATAGGACCCAGCCTTCCTTCTTCAGACTACTAGATCCCAGGTCCAACCCTCCCCTGTGTTTTCGTTTGCCTCAGGCTTTCCGTATGCCAGAGGCAGTCCCCACTCCAGCTTGCAGGAAGCCTGCTCCTCAAGTCCTCAGGGAGAGGAAGTGTGTTTGCAGACGGAGCTGACATGTCTCTAGAACTGTCAGCAGTCAGCCCTGCTGAGGGAGGCAGAGAGAAGCCAGTGTTCCCACGGGCTGTTCTCTGGCCACTGTCTATGGGGTATGGTGTTGGCTGTGTCCCTGCACGGTCACCGACTTCCAAGTTCCCACCAGTCTCTCTTCCCTCCCAAACCCAGCCTAAAGCTCCCGTTCCCACTTGGGAGAAAAGCTCCCATCTAGATCAGTGGTCTTAGGAGCCCCCAACCATAAGATTATTTTCATTGCTGCTTCTTAACTGTAATTTTGCTACTACTGAGTGGTGTCTCTGTTCCTAAGACCATTGGCTGAAGACCCACAGCTGAGAACCACTGATCTCTATCAATACAGCCTCTGGCCTGATCTAGAGCCGGAAGTTGGGGGACTTGGTTTTTCCAGACAGGGTTTCTTTCTGTAGCTCTGGCTGTCCTGGAACTCACTCCGTGGACAGGCTGGCCTTGAACTCACCGAGACCCACCTGCCTCCTGAGTGCTGGGATTAAAGGCTCGTGCCACCCCTGCCCAGCACCAGAAGCATTTTCTTAACTCTCTCTGATCTTTCTAAACTTTGTCCTGTCCCTTCCCCCTGTTTACAGTTTCCCATGGCTCTTAGTACCCTCAAAGAAAAGCCCACACACTCTAATTCAACTGCCACTTGTGTGACAGTTTACTGTTTGCAAGACAGGTGTTCACTGCGTGGGCCAGGCTCTCCCTTCGTCAGCCTCCCAAGGGGTGGGGTTACAGGCGTGTTCCTCCTCCGTGCCTGGCAGTCTGGCACTTTGTTTCCCATCATTCATTCACTCATTCATTCATTCATTCATTCAGCACATTTACAGAACACCTGGAGAATATCAGACACTGCTCTAGGCTCTGAGATTCAGGGATGAATGGGCACCTGCTGGGGAGGTAGGTGTTTGGTTCTGTTGGAGGAAGCCGGTTAAGACTCCTTGTTATCAGTGTGGGGATCAGATCCCCAGTCGAGTCGCTAAAGCAAGATCAGGAGGAAGCCAGGGTGACCGGTCAGGAAAAAAAAAAAAAACAGCCAGTGCAAAGGTCCTGAGGCAAGACTTCTCTGGGCCAGGAGATTGAGAGAGGGGGTGGGGAGAGGGGATGGGCACAAGCTCGCAGGGTGGGAACTGCCACAGGCTCCCAGCAGAGAAGAGATACCTGCTACCACAGTTCCTCTCTGGCTGTGTGTGGAGACAAAAGCTGACAGGTCACCTCAGAGGTGACGCAAGCAGGAAATGCTGGTGAGGTCAGCCAGAGCCTGAGGGACTACACGTAGTCCAGCTGAGGTAGATTTTAAAGATGGAGCCTACAAAAGATGGGCTTCCTGATGGCTTTTACTGGGGAAGTTGGGAGGGAATGAGTCAGGTTTCCATCCTGACCTACGGAGGTTTCAAAAGGCCCTTAAAAATGTTCTCAGTGGTGGTGCCCCCCCCCCCCCACTAATCCCAGCACTCTGGAGGCACAGCCAGGTGGACCTCTGAGTTCGAGGCCAGCTGAGTCTATAAACCGAGTTCCAGGACAGCCAGATCTACAGAGAGAAAGCCTGTCTTGAAAGACAAAGGGCTACACATGACAGGGTTTGGCGCGGAGGTGCTGGTACAGGCGTGTGGTCCCAGGATGTAGCATCCCAGCCAGCCCAGACTATGTAGCCGGCCTCCATCTCACAAAGCCAAACAAAACAGGGGCCAGCGGGGTGGCCGGGCAGGTGAAGGTGCGTGCTGCCCAGAGAGGGCCCAGCTTTGTCTGCAATCCGCCCTCACAGTAGAAAGAGCGAGCCAACCTGTGCATTGGCACATCCGCCCCTGCTTACAAACAAATAAGTGTAATAACAAGTAAAAGCTGTTCATCCCACGGGGGCCTGAACATCTCTTTCTTTTATTTAGAATCAGAAACTTAGTCTGGGGCTCTTGGGTGGTGAGATTTGTTTTCATCTGTATGTTTTTCATCCCTTGATTTGAGACAAGGCCTCCCTGGGTACCTTAGCCTGGGACTCCCTGGCCTCAGACTCATGACTCAAGCCTTCTCCTCCTCCTTAGTGCTGGAATTACAACTGAAGGCCACAGAGCCTTGTTCACTGCCGCCTCTTGTTATTTAGCATGTGTGTGTGTGTGTGTGTGTGTGTGTGTGTGTGTAGGTCAGAGGACAACTTTCAGGAGCCTATTCTCTTCATCCAGTTTGTGGATCTCTGGCTTGAACTCAGATTATCCGTCTCGGCAGCAATCACCTTTACCCACTGAGCCATCCCACCAGCCTCTCCCTGACACGTTTTCCTGTCTTTAATATATATATATATATATATATTATATTATATTTAATATATAAAAGCCCATTTTCCTGTCTTTAATATATTTCCTGCCTACCTCCATGCCCTGCTCTAATTCACATTTCCAAGGATGTGTAATCCCAGCACTCAGGGTGGTGAGGCAGGAGGATTGATGTGAATTCGAGGCCAACTGGAGCTAAACAATGAGACCCTGTCTAAATAAACAAAATAAAACCTGCTTGAGCAGAATTGAATGCAAGCCCTGCCACATGTGGCCTGTGGGGACAGGCACTGACCCTGTGACCTGGCCTGCAGAGAGTGTCAGATCTTTTACCGGAATTATCCCAGGGGACCCTGCAGGGTGGCTTAAATGTCTCCATTTTACACATGGAAGAACTTGGGCTTGAAAAGGTCACCCAGCCCGGAAGGAGCAGCCAGCAGGAAGCTCACATCTGTGTTGCAATCGTTTTAAGAAGTACTCCTGCGCCTGCTGCCCTCTGTGGTAGGGCTGGAACCCAGAGCTTTCCATATGTTAGGCAGGGGCTCTACCACTGAGCTACAGCCCAGCCCCTCACTGGGGGATTCTAGGCAGGGGCTCTAACCACAGAACCACACCCCAGCAGCCCCTCACTGGGGGTTGGGGTTTCTAATCCTGAGCTGTCCTCTTCCCAGCCCATATGGATCTGCTCTGTGGCAGAGGATGAAGCCCTTTTGGTTTAGGTGGTTGCTGGGTTTGAGTGGTGAGGCTTATTTGGAGATGGTTTGGCTTACAGGTGGCCACTTACCCATCCTCCCTGGCACTGTCTCTCCACAGTATTGTCTTCTGTCAGCGGCCCTCATCAGGGCCGCCTGGGTTCTTTAAAGATTTGTTTAGGTGAATTGGTGTTTTGCCTACATACATGTCTGTGCGCCGTGTGTGCAGTGTCCGAGGGAGAGCTGGAGTTCGGGATGCTTGTGAGCCGCCATTTGGGTTCTGGGACCCCAACCCAGTCCTTTGCAGGAACAGCACGTGCTCTTGACCTCTAAGCCCTCTCTCCAGCCCTTAACCTTTTCACGTCTTACTTTTCTGAGGCAGGCTCTAGCTACGTCTCCCTGGCTTGCCTGGAATTCACTAGGTAGCCCAGAATTTCCTCAAACTCAAAGACACCCAGGTGCCTCTGCCTTCCGTGTGCTGGGATTAAAAGCTTTGCCACCACCCTGCCTTCCCTGGGTTCCTGTGTGCGAGGAGGCCAGGTCGGTACACACTCACCCCTGTACACCAAGAGGGCAGCTCTGCCTCACTCTATAGATGAGTTCCTCACCTCGGGGCTCATGGGGCTCACTGTCAATGGAAACTTGTAATTATCTGGACTCTTTGTTTGTTTACCAAGTTCAAGTTTTCTGTGGACCTATGCTAAGTGCTCTTCAAGCATTCCTTGGTTCTTGAAACAGCCCTGGAAGGTGAGACTCTGTCATTATGCAGCTGGGAAACTGAGGCACAGAGATGTGAAGCCCTGGATTTAAACCCACACATTATTGTGCCCTGGGTCAGCGTGGAGTACTTCCTCCCAAAACTGGAGACGCTACTTTGTTTCCATGTTTGTTCAAAGTGGGTAGACAGGGTCTGGCCAGGTGGCTCAACAGTTCAGAGCACTTACTGCTCTTGTGGAGAACTTGTTTCCAGCTCAGCTGCCTGTAGCTCTGATTCTGAGGCTCTGATACTCTCTTCTGGCCTCCACAGGTACACACACACACACACACACACACACACACACACACACACACACACACACA